TGTCCTGTAAGTGTTGTGATATGATATGCCTGCGAGGAGGCCTGGCCTGTGAGGCTGGAGTACTGACAAAAGAGCAGCAGCCAGAATAGTCATTACCTTTGGCACTGCTGTGAAATGGCTAATAAGTTGCCGTGGTAACTATTAAACTATTAAACAAAGAATAATGTAATCTTAGGAAACCAGACTGTAATAACCAAGGGTAGGCTCTCACTAAAAGTTTTTCCTGCTGCAGGTAACTGGACACCATCTGAACGCTGAATATTTCATACGCTGTTGGACAGTCAGTTGGGGGTTTAGGCAGAGATCACAGCTCCAGCCAAGTGTCTGGTAGGAAGATCAATCACGACTTATTCTCCATTTTCCCACACTACTGCACTCGCTACGTGTTGCTGTGCCGGCAGCTGCTGCTGGTATGGCCTGATCTACTTTGAGGCGAACGTCATGTTTTTTTGTGTGTGAAAAAGACAGAAGCAGGGAGAAAAGGGGGGGGGGGGGGGAGCACACACAATAGCTGCTACTCCCACTAATTCTGCTGGCTTTTCAAAAACAGCTGAGGTGGTAACATCACATGTGGGGAGATTTCATTATCAGAGCACTTAACAACTTCCAGCTGCAAAGACTGTATTATAAAAAGGGGTCAGAAACACCGAAGCATCTTTTCTGAGGTGTTAACTGATATCAAAGTGTTGTTTGAGATAGTGGAGGATTGTACAAGGCATTCTGCGAGACTGCTGACATTTCAGGTGTTAAAATCACACATCTCTTGTTTTGGGATTGACAATCAAAAGCCGGCAAATATTACTGGATGTTTTCTTTGTGTCCTACATGAAGTTATGTCACTGCCTCCGAAAAAGGTCTGAGATTCTGTATCGTGTCCCATTTGTGGTGGTGTTAGAGCTGCCACTTTTGCAGGTTTCCCACCCAGATGATCAGGATATTCACAAAGCCAATGAAAGTGTTGTATCAATTCGTAGATTTGTGTTTTCCTAGGAAAAATTCAGATTATGCTGCACCCAAATTTTGCAGAGTATAAGAGGAGAGGCAGGTGGGAGAGAGCATGCAGGCAAATGGTGGGATCAGCTGAAAGAAAGAGCAGGAATAAGGTAATGTGTTCTGATAGTTTTAGAGCACATTAGGCAGTTTTCCAATGGCTCTTGGGCTGAATCTTCTATTAACCTGGTGAAGCTGCTGGAGTGAGTGTGCACACTGCAGATGGCACACAAATGCTACAGGAGCAGATGGCACAAATACTACAATCCCAACTGTCTCTTACCTTAAACTGAACATAACCTTTTCAACTTACCTAAACAACTGCAAGACTATCTATTTTTAATCTTGCAACAAACCCAGGTTTCTAATTTGACAGTTGTGTCCATAAGAAATTTTGCACTGCAACCATTTAAGTGCTTTATTTTAGCCATCATATATAGCATTGTGGGTATCACATGTGAGGCAACCAATCCACATGATGACACTATCAGTTACATTCATTTCGTCATGTTGGGTCACCAACTTAGTAGTTAGAGGACGACTGATTGTGTATTTTTGAAGGCCGATATAATAATGATAGTATGGATACAGATAAAGCCAATTAATCAGCCTGGGCTGGACCAGTTCATAGCAGAAGGGACCTGCTTTCTCCGGAGCTGTACACACTGATCAAGATCCTTTTTGCTCCATTTACCACAACCCACCCATCTTCCACTCTGGTCAGTGATGTGCATCCCCCATGACAGGTGGCGGTTGAGCCATTGGCCACACTTAGAGGCAATTTCCGCCAATAACGATAGTTTGTAAAATGTCCAATTGGCGCTAATTACTCAGCCAAACTGATAAATCGATTGACCTCTAGTTGATAGTGCTGCAGACAATCCCAGGCTTTACGTTACTTTACATTAAAGGGTTTATAAATGTGTTCATGCATTTAAGTATACAGACTTTACATTTGGAAAGCAACACTGGTATTTGATCAGAGCTTTCCACCAGAAGATGTCTAAAACAACTGTTTGTCAAACTGACTTATTGAGTCATTATTGAAGGACCACACATGCCCAAACACACACCGCTTTAGTGGACGTCGCTACTCAACGCCAACATCCTGTATGACACAATGTGAGCATCCATCAAGACCTTGAACAAAGCTCCAGTCATGCGAGGCAGCAGCAGTTCTGATGCCGACAGGTCGAAGAGAGAGTAGGGATGTAAGTGTATGTGTGTGTGTGTGAGAGAGTGTAGGTCTGTGCTGCTATACCCACGTATCCAGCTCATTATTTGCTTGACAGCGACGCTTCTTCTCCCCTCACTCTACTGTCAGAACGGACTCTATTGCCTGCCATAACCATGTGGAAAAAATTGACTGCTTCCAAGGAAAGCTGCCCCCCCCTTACACAGATGTATGTGCCTCTGTGTATAGCTTTCAGTCTAGTTACATTTTCCTTCCACTAACTCAATAAACTGGACAGAGAATTTGTATAAAAGTCAACTCAGGGGGGCAGGAACAAATCTTTCTCTTTCTGATTTCTTTCTGAGGTGCAACAGCAGCAGCTTGGCACATACAGGTAGTTAAAAAAAGGGATATATTTCTACCAGCAGGGTCAAGAAATTACAGCTCCACAAGGTAAAGTCTAGTAGTCACAACATATTCTCAGCAGAAACCATCTACAGACTCATTGCTTTAAGAAAAGAAGTAATTCGGAGTTGGTTAAAAAAGTGAAATGCATTTCTGAGTCAGGACACAACTTCAGGAATTAATTACTTTCATGAACATAGCAGACAAACAAAATCTTCCTTGAATGCCAACTAATGCCTGTCTGCTCTTAAAATCATCAACAAATATTAGGAAACCAAAATGAGCACAGACAGATAACGGGCAAGTCATATCAGGGACTCGCCTACAAAATTGTGTTTGCATATTGCAGAATAAGCTTGACATTTTGGTGCTTGTAAATCCAATCAAATTGCCGGCTTATTTAACATAATGGTTAGCTGCGGATAATTTGAAGCTGTGCGCGGAGGAAAATCAATATCAGCATCCAGACGGCCACTTCCAATCAGCATCCCCTCTCTGTGCCTGCAGTTGTAAAAATACATGTTTTCTTTTGACGGTGTCAAAAAGGGTGAAGACATTATAATACGCAATGCAACATCATCAGAAAAACCTGCCTTTTTCTTAGAGCAACACAGACTGATCTTGCCTCTGAGAGTCAACAGAAGATACCAGAATAAATCTTTGAATAATGTCCCAATTAGTATTCCTGGCAAAAACAGTACTCAATGGGGTCAGGTTTATGTGTTAATCTATACAAAAACTCTAGAGCTACAGCTGCCATGCACGTTGAAGAATTCCCGAGAGTGTTAATGATTGTAGAAATGTAGGGCAATGGTTCTCAGGAAGCTGATCGGGATTACACATGGGGTCAAAAGATGACTAGAGGGGGATGAATGTTGCAAAATTCATGAATAGTCAACTACAGCTATATTTCTGTTGTGAATCTCCATGTTGATAAACACACTTTCCATATAAATACACGATTATTTAGCGTTTCATCAAACATTTAAGTAAAGCATCCTAAAAATATATATTTAAAAAAGACATTACTTTGTGGCTGAAATCACCATTTTGCACATTTAAGCCCGCAACAGAAGGTTCCATCCAAGCATTGCTTTATTTTCAGGGTCCCAGAGAAATTCTTTTGAGAACAACAGATGTAGACTACTCATAGCTGCAAGGGCTTTTAAACTCTTGAATATCAAAGTGCGCCTTTGCTTTCTTTTCTGTGACATGTTTCCAAAGAACTGCGCAGACTCAACTGTAGGAACTGATGGCACTTCATAGCCCCAAACTGAGGCAAAGCAGCTCCTATTAAGTGCAGGAAAATAATACCATAGGTGATGTTGGTTAATCCGATTCATGACGGCTGTAAAAAAATAATTCAGTGCTACGATCGGTGCAAATTCCAGTCTCAAAGCAGGATCAAGCTCTTCTGAACCATGTGGACCCTCTGGTAGCCCTAAGCCTTGGTCCCATGGCTATAAAATGCAATCAAGTTGTCAACATAATTGAAGAGGCAAGTGTCACCCTGAACAAGATGGAGCACCTGTCCTTGAAAATTAATAAATGAATGCATCAGTCGTGCTGCCTGCTTGAATGCCACAGAGTATACCACCACCACCACAGCAGCAGCAGCAGTGAGGGGATGCTTCGCAGCCAGGCGGACACTTGTGAGCCCATGTGACACCGTTACAAAGCGGAATAATCCTGCATTGTGATGACAGACACACCACACCGGATCAGTTGGCTTCCGGGTTACAAAAGGTCTGCTGTCATGATGAGCACCGGCTGTAATTTTTGCGCGCAAATCTCATCAGTCCGGTGTGCATATCCTCTGCTCAGCAAGTTGTGTTAAACTCTCAGGGAGAATCTATCCCAGCAGTAAAATCAATCAATCACATCGACCACCGCTGGGGAGATAACCATTTCAACTTCGCACGCTCAACACTGAATTGCCAATGAATTAAAGCAGTGCAGAGAAATCACGCATGTCTCCCACAAAGTTGTACCTGCAGCTGCAGCCTCCTCGCGCGGCTCTCTGCAGCTGCTGTGTTCACGTTATTGTTGGGTGAATGCTAAACAACACGAGAGTGGTCAAACCGGACCAGCTAGCTGACTGTCACTGGGTTCATCCCGTTTAATGTCAAGGTCCTGTAGACGGGCTGCACATGAGGCCACTGACCTCATAGGCAAAGTGTGAAGTGAAAAACCCTGCTGCTGGTCATTACAGGAAAACAATCTTGAATGTGAGGAGCTAAAAGCAACACAGCATCTAAGTAGTTGAAACTCTCACTGTGCTGACTTGTAAAGAGTGAAATAACGCAGTGAAAATACCAGACGCTATGTTTAATTTTTAAAAATGACCCCCTGGAGCGTTACGGGCATCAATCTGCCTCTCATTGCCACTACAAGCAACTGTTACCCAGCTGACAAATGTTAGCTAGCTTACCATGGATCAAACTCGTGGATGATGCTTTCGAACCGGATCACGGCGAAAAGTCTGGAGCTGAATCCGGCCAGGCAGGCCAGGAAGAGAATGCTAAAGGAGAGTAAAGACTGCCACCCTGCCGGCTGTGTCAGTCCACCAGACAGGCCTCCTTTGCCCCCTCCTCCACCCGCGGCGCCGGGTCGGCTGTTCCCGTGCACCGAGCCCCCGGCATTGGTGGACGCTTTGTGCTTGCCGTCGCTGGCTGCGTGGTGCTCCGCCATTTCTGCGCGCGGTGTCGGTAGGATTTGCTCGAGCGTCCCTCCTGCCACGCTCCCGTGTCTCCCTCCACTCCGTGCGGTCGTAAACTCCCTTAGTTTGTGCCCGCTCTCCGTCGGTATTCTGGCTCCTGAGTCCCTCGGGTGTATATGTATTTTTAATTCAGTATCGCTACTCCGAGGGGCAGCCCTTACATCCCGAAACGCATACTCATGCGCCACATACCGAGCCTGCAACAGTCAATTCGCTTCACGATTGAACGCCGGTGGAAAGGGGTGGGAGGGATGCGGTGGGCGGGGCGCCAGGAAGCTCTCGCGGCCTCTCACAGCTCGACAGGTACCAGAGGGCGGGGCTTTACATCTCTAAGCCAATCAGAGAGCAGCACTGATATGATAGACAAATAAATCCACCAATGGAAGCACAGTAAATTATGGCTGCGTCTGATTGAAACAAGGATTATCCCCTGTTATAGATGAATATTGAGTCATTCTGGTGCTCGCTATAAATACAACGCTTATTACTCAGCTTAAAGTTGGCTTTATGGAGCTGAATTAGTCACTTTAACAGAGAATAACAAAGACAAGATAATGTGCACACAGTCCAAAATCTTGAAGGGAATTTGTCTCCTTGCAGCTAAAAGCTATAGGCAGGTGTGTGAAGATAAATGTTCTCTGTGAGTGCAATATTTCTGTTGCCCTTGGATGTTCTGGACTGGGTGGTGGAGAGGTAATAAAGATTGATGTGTCTCATCATTATTATGTCCCCCAGCAAAGACAAGAACACAGCATTCATCATTCTCTTAAACTCAGGATGTACTTTCACAACTTCCCCTGAAGCCTTGAGAGCCTATATTGGAATGAGACACCTTTTTTCTTTTTTTAACATTTCAAATAAATGCTCAAGTTTTTGATTGATAGTATACATTCATTTTGTGCTTGCACTGTTTCATATAACAATGAGACAGAGGCAGGAAGTGTTATTGATTTATCTGAGATGTGATTCAGTCCCAAAGGAAGCAAAACAATAGTCCAGCAGTCCTCTTCTGTGTAATATTATAGATAGAAACAACTTTGTTCTGGAGTCAGAGTGGACAAAAAAATCTTTTCTCATCTCCCCTAACATTTGTTGCATATAAAGCTGCTTTGTATGAGCCGATCCTGCTGCACAGTGTTTCATCTTATCCTGAGGTTACCCTTGGAGCATTGTATAATCAAAAAAAGCCTGTTTCTAAACAAGCAGCAATGTAATTTAATCACTGACCTCCAAAACATTATCCATTAATTCAAAGTGTGAATTTATTGTGTTTATGTATTGCACCTGATTTCAATAACCATTGCTTTGGGTAAGTTATGTTTGAATATTTAAACAGACGCTGCACACTGAGGCAATAACTACTTATCAGAGAGTCTGGGTTTTAAAGGGAATGCATGTTTTTCTGTTAACAATGTAAAATAAGTTGTTAATTATGTCCACTTTTAGTACCTTTGATTTGAGAATGGCCCATTTGCTGGTTTGAAAACTTTGCAAATTGCCCTAAATCCCCATCCTTACTTTGCATCAGCAGTGTTTACAGCTCTCCTGTCACCCATAAGATCATGATTTTAAAAAATGCAAATGAAATATTCATGTAGAAGAACTGGACTGAAGTTTGAGCCGGCTTAGCACAGCTGTGCATTGAGGCTATCTTCTGGAGAGACGGGGAGGAGATAAGAGGGAGATGAAAATACAGCGTCGGAGAGACGGGGAAGATGGAAGGCCGATAATAAAGGGGAGTAAAAGGACGATTATGGAAATTGATGGGGGTCATCATGGAGAGTAGATGGAGTGGCAGAAGTGGCGACGAGTTTTGAGTTCATGAAGAGCTCACATAGACCAAAGCCTGGTATCACAGACACTATTATAGGCATATGCTGCAGCTGAAAGCCAGTGCCAAGCAGAATTCACCCACACACAACATACACACAGGCAACCGAGTGTGTAAAGATACAATGCATGCAAACACATGTAATCCCACACACATATGAGCATGCATACCGATGAATACATCTTTATGTAGCGCGCACACACACATATGCACACAGCTCCTCGATCATTCATCAAGGCCTGCTTATGCCGTGATGAGCGCCCTACCCCTTCACCCTTTCCCCTCTACCTCCACATTCTGAATGAATGACCTTTGAGACAAATAGAAATGCAGGCTGTGAAGATTGCTTCAATCGCATCTATTGTCAAAAGGCCAGGCCTAGATGAAAGCCAGCCAAAATGAGTGCTGTTGCCAGGCAGGGCAGCTTTGCTTTCCTACGTCTCCAGAGGCAGACTTGAATGTTTGTGTTTGCTTTGTCTTTCTTCTCTGGGTTTTTTTTTCCTCCCTAGAACTTTACAGACTCGCCGAGTTTATGCTTGGCATTCTTAGGTGTCTACACTTCTTTACTTTGCCAAAGGCCAATCGTGCAAAAAAGCTTAAGATGCCTGGCATGAAACACTCTTTGCACCTCTGTCATCTCGCTCTGTTTTGACTGCATGTGTGAGAGAGCTAGAAAGCGCAAGGGAGAGAGAGAAAGAGGTGTCACAACTGGTCAAGAAGATTAGAATCACTGTGCCCATTTCTCACACTTTCTGCCGAAACTGATGTCATACAACATGGTGCAACCGGTGACTCCTGGAAGCTACAAACAGCCATCATCTAGGTACAGTGTTGGCTGGCTTTAGTCATTTGTCTCAGTGTTTAATAATCTCAAATCTTTCAGTCACTTGTGTATGGTGTTATGTAAGCACAAGGGACAAAGCAAAGGATCCTCCTTGAATATGCTGCCTCTGATGTCTGATGAAAGCAGACTTGCTGTATACTTTTAAAGAGAGCCTCCCATATAATGCAAGTGGTACGTGCACAGCGGGACAAAATCTGATGTTGTAATTTGTTTATAAGGCACACACTGCAGTGTGAGGTATGTCTGAGGAGCGGGCACATCATGTTCCCGGATCCTGACATCCTTGCAACATACTGTACCTCAGTGGAGGGAGGAAAAAAAAACAAATTAGAATTGTAGATCTATGTTTTATCGATACCCACTTTTTCCTATTGAGGGTTATTAACGGGGGGTTGCATGATATGGGTGGAAGGCAGGAAAACACTGCATTGATTGCCAATCTATCCAGGGATAACACACAGATACAAACACATTCACACACTTACAAATGCAGCCACTTAGAATTTCCCATCCCAACAGAAGGCCTTTCTGCTGCCAGCCAGTTCCGAGTCAACTCCTAGCTAATGGTTTCCTGACAGGGCATGCCAAGGACCAGCCAAGGACCAGGCAAAGTCTCAGCAGGGATCTGCCACGGATCTGCTTGGGCCCCATGATGGAGGAACCGCAAATCTTTAGGTGGATGCATCTGTATGTAAAGTCTTAAATCCACCAGCTTCCTGTCTTCCAAACCAGTTTTCTTTTTCGATCTCAACTTCTTATTGTCTTTCACTTTAATTTCCATTGCTCCCCTCTAATTACCTTGTGCATCATTTACATGTGGAATCCAACAGAGGGGGGATCCATTCTGTATATTCAAAAAGCATGGATGCTCATTGTGAACACAGCAAGCTTTAAAGACTCCATAGAGTCCGCCTGTGTGATCCAGTTTAACAGAATGATTAGCCGGCGCCTGGGGATCGCCACTGCGCACACCGATCTGCACCACAATCATTAACAGAAATGAGAGCACTTAGATAAAACCGCTTAGCATCCCAATGAGGTGTGGTGTCCAACTGTTATGAACTATTTATTTACCTGTAGCCAACAGAGAGTTAGACAGTCTGCTGGAATAGCTGTACAGCATCATCATAATTATCAAGGTCAAGTTCCACGTGTCCTGAAAACAATTCCTTATTTAATTTAGAAAACTATGCATTAGAGGTTTCTATGACAACAGAGTGTAATGACATCTTGATGAGTCAGAGAATGAAATCAGAACATGAGGCATGACCTGAGTTAACTTCTAGTTGATGATGAGGGGTCTTTCACCGGGTGCACAGGGTTACCTGTGTGGTCTCATCAGTGACACACCATTTCACACTGAGCATGCCTCATTTCTCCAGCAGTCAATGGGGCACGGAGCGGCGGTTAATGTGAACACGACCCACTCAGACCCAGGCAACACATGTGGATGATACTCTGCAACTGCACAACATGTTAATGTTGACTTTGATGGAAGGTGTGCTGGCATGGGATCAGCTGTGGGTTTCACCTTCTATGACAGGGCTGTTAATCTTGATAATGTCACGGGTGATCCACTGATTATCTATAGCCCTGCACTACTTAGCTATTCATATGCACCATGCACATTCAAGCTCAGACTCTGTCTTTAAAGAAAATTGCTTGTTGTGATAGACTATGAAGCAGCATGATAAGTTTCTATATTTTGAAAGAGAATATGGCGTGATCTATCATCCCGGAGATCAGAGAGCTTTTGCTCAATTTATAAGGCTGCATCTGCCTCAGGATTGCATTCATTGCATTCATCTGTCATTTTCCAAAGCACATGAAAAGTTATTTCTCCCTAAGAGACCGTGAGCTGCAGAGACAATGACAGTTTCGATTGAAAATTTCTTTTCATTTCTCATTTGATTACAAAAATACTTTCATCTTCCATGTCTCCGAGAAGGGAACAAAGCAATCAATGTGATAATGTTGTCAATGGAAGCTTTAACTTTTGCCAGTTTAAATAAGGAATGAATGAGAGTGTATCATTGTTTCTGAAAGAAAAAGTCAGATCCTTGCATCTTTACCTTCCCCTGAAATCATAATTTCAAGTAATAACACAGTCACAGAATCTATCGTTCAGATTTTTAATCAGGCTTTTAATCACAATAATTATGGCATGAAATTATACAATAATTATGCAATTATGGGATATAAAAAAAGAATCATCTTGCATCTGAGCGCATAAAGCCGGCCATAAATAAAGATAGAAAACTTTTGTCTGAAAACAACTCTCAAAAACATATCAGCATAGAAAATTGGCTGTAAACATCCACAGTTCACCACATTCATCAAGATTGATTCTGACCTGTCGACACAGCTGAAAGTGCCGGCAGTGATGCTTCAAATCCTATTGGCATGCTGCATAAAAAGTTTGTAAGAAAGTTTCAATTGATGGAGCGAGAGAGGTTGGGNGGGGGGGGGGGGGGGGGGGGGGGGGGGGGGGGGGGGGGGGGGGGGGGCTGAAATAAGGAGGAGGGTGGTACTAACCTGAGCTCAACAGAGA